ACTTGTAGTATACCTCTGCTTCTGATCTCAGACTCCTAATTCAGATAGCCCAGTAAAACTATAACCTGTCTCTGGTATCTAGGGTCTGCCTTTCAAGATTCTTTTCCTTTGGTTCGAGACTTGTGACAATCTGGTTAGTGGTATCTCTCATCTGAGGTTCTTACTATCTCGATTTCTTCCATATTGGTATCTGTTTCCTAGGTCTAACCTTAATAGTAGTACTGTTAAAAATCTATGCTATCTCTCTACTTAGGTCTTCTCAAGTAGGCTTCAGCTTCCTAGTTCATGAGTTTATACAGCCATGAGAACTTATCTTGTGTTTGCACTACCTGATGCCAGTTTGCATTCCTTTGTATAACTTTAACATTATGCAGATGCCTATGACCTGCCAGTCATGTTAGTGTGACCATGTTATAGATATCTTATCTTAACTGATTGACAGAATGCTGTTATTGTAATAATGTCTATATATTACATAGGTGATTATTCAAATTTTTTATCATCAGTAGGATTTGAACTTACTACTTATCATTTAGGGAGTTGACAACTTATTCACTTTACTAAGTTACTATACCTTTATAATTAGTATAACATTAATTGCAATAATTTAAATATTTTGAATTAGATCAAGTTAGAAAAAATAAAATTAACTAATTAATAATAAGTTTTATATCTATAAAATTAGAACTTAAAAAACAAAATTTTAAACACTTTCTTATAAATCATTTTTTATATAGTAAACAAATAATAAATTGCAATTAGATATACTTAGAATATTATAATTAAATAATTAAGAATAACTTGTAACAATATTAACAGATAAAACTACTAAAGATTAAATAAAAAAAAGAAACAGCTTTCTGTACTTCTGTCCTATTTACAATCTTGTTACCAACTATATCAACAACTAAAATAAACAATAATAACAATAAAAAAAATAACAACAAAACACATATGACTGAAACTTAAAGAAAAAAACATAATCTGCTTATATATATACTGATAACAGTGACACAATAAGTAAACAAAGTAAAGAAAACAAGTGAAAAACTAGTAAGTCTAATCTGTACAAGAATTTATAATAAAGATTGTTCTTTAAAACATAAAAAAAGATATGAATATAAGATTAAGTTTCATAGTAATTATAAGCTACTAATAAAAAAAAAAGTTCAATATAATCAAGAATTTATTGGCTGGATCAAAGAAGATTTATTAACATTTGTCAATGCTATGTTAATAAAATAAAAATAAAAATTTATATATTGTATTATTTTATTCAAAAGTTTTCAGTATGCATAAAATGAATATATCTATTTTCTTTATTTCTATCTTTTGCAAGTTTTGAAACCTATGTTCAATTAAATTTTAAATATATTACTAAATTACAGTATATATTTTGTACATCAAATATTAAATTAAAATAACTATATAATCTTACTAACATTTACTCTTATCTTAATATAAGTTTTTAATGAAATTCTATATTTAATTTTTGGTCTGATGTAAAATTTATTTTGACATGCAACATTAGTGTTGTTGAAGGTAATTTTACCATTGTAACTTACTACAGTAAATTACTAATAAGTTACTAAAATTTTTTAATAATAAGTTATATAATAAGGACTATAATAAATTATATCATAATTACAAATCAAATTGTAGAAAATTCATAATTCCAAAACTTAGTAATTAATAATGATATAGTATAAATAGCTTGAAACATTATATCAAAAATAAAATTATATCATTATATATATTATTTAAAAATACTATGACAAAAAGGTATTTTTTGGAATGAATATGAATTAGTTAATATTGATTCAAAAGGAATGAAAAAGTATTGTTATAAGCATTATAATATTACATATATTAAAAATACTACAAGATTTCAAAATTACCTTGAAAATTGTATGAATTATATAAAAAAATCAACTAAATCAACAAATATTATATTAAACAATAATAGTATAGCAACAATTTTTCAAAAAAAAAAGTATCATATAATTTAATCATCCATTAACAAATATACTGAAAGTGATCAAAAAACACTAGAAAATTTATTAATACAAGCTTTTTGTTCAGCTGGAATATTATTTAATGTTATTGAAAATGAAGATATTAAAGTTGTAGTTCAAAAAAGTATTTCATGTTTTTTGTTTCATCACAATTTCAATTATAAAACACATTTTTATATCAAGAATATATGAAAATTAAACAACTTGTTAAAAGTATTTTGAATGAATCTAAATACTATGTATTACAAGTGATAAATAGTCTAATATTTATATATTGCCAATAATTAACTATATAATTACGATGCCAAGTCTTTTTTTTTATAAAACTGTATTTATTGGTGAACAACAGCATACTGCAATTAATATAGCAATAGGAATTGAACATGTTATTGATGAAATCGAAAAAAATAAAATTGTTACAATAATTATAGACAATGCTAATGTTATAAAAGCAGTCTAGAAAATTTTAAAAATATTATTTTCCCAAAAGATATATATTAATTATATTAAATTTATTATAAATTGTATATATTGTATATTTAATTATTTAATTTTATTTTATAAATTAGATTTTTTTAAATTGTCAGACATATGAAATTAACCTTTGGATTAAAGATATTATTAATTTAGAGTAGGCATCTCAAACTATATGATTTATGAAAGGTGTCCTAAATGGTCACGAATAAGGTGTGCTCCCTGACACTTTTTTTTCTTTTCTTTTTTCTTCCTGTATTCCTTTTAGTTTAGTTTAGTTTAGTGTTTTTTTTTCTTTTTTCACTTCCCTATGAGAAAGTGTTATCAGATTGGTAATATTCTATTGTAGGGCAGTGGTTGGATGAGCCCCCAGATTCCCTTTTTTTTTTAGAAATTAGGCAACTGGTGCAGCAGATCGCTTGTAAGTGCTCATAGAAGTAACTGCAGGATGTCAACTCAGCACATTAAGTCTAAAAATGTTTGTGTATATAAACAGAAATCTTAATAAAGAGTATTGGCAAGACTGCCAAAGTGAAAAAAAAAAATATATATGATTTATGAAAGAAATTCTTAACTATTTTTGAAATCATCAAATAATTTTAACAACACTACATTGACTTCAACTTGAAGTTTATAATAAATATATATTATTATTACTTCCTAGAAATATATGATGGTGATCTACATTTTATGTTGCAAATAATCTTCTAAAAACTAAAATAGCTATTCAAAGGATTACATTAGAAGATAATATTAAAATATCTAATGAAATTAAGAATAAAATTTTATTAAATAATTTTTGGATTAATTTTAAAATTCTTTATAATTTTCTTTCACCTTTTATGACTTTTTTAAGAAAATTATAAACTGATCAACCAAGACTTTCAATAACTTATTCTGAATTATGCAAATTAAAAATTTCTATTTCTGAAAATACTGAAATTTCAGATGATTTTAAAATCAATTTGATTAATAAGGGAACAGAATGATGGAAAAATTTCTTTTAAAATCCAGTAATTATATTAGCATATAAACTTGATCCTTGATATCAAGGTAGAAGCTTAAATTCAAAAAAATGGAATTCAATTATTGAAGATGAATTACTATGACTAGTATCAAACTAATATCAAGAAAATATATTAATTGAATATACAGAATATGTTTCTAAAAGAATCATTTTGCACAACAATGTTTGTGGAATTCTAATTTTATACAAAATCCAATAAATTGGTGAGACTTATTTAAGGACAGATATCCTGCATTAAGTGAAGTTGCACTACATATATTATCAATACCAGTCACCTTTGCAGCATGTGAGAGAAATTGGTCTACTTTTGGTTTAATACATAATAAGTTGCGTAACAGACTTACAGATTCAAAAGTAGAAAAATGTGTTTATGTTCAATGGAATTTATGAATTTTGAGAGATTTGAGCCGAGTAGATGATTTAAATAAGATTACAGATTTTGTTGAAGATTTAGTGGTAAATAATGAAGAAAATTTCGAAGATGTATTTGATGATTTATTTTCAGAGAATGAGTTAATTACATATGACGAAAATGGGTGTATAGATATTTGTAGTGATTCTTAAGATTTAAATGAATAAAATTTTCGATACTTATTTTATAGTTTTATCGCATATTAGAAGTTCATATTCTTTAATTTACAAATCAAAAATTAAATTTAATAATAGTAATTTCGAATTCAGAAAATATGATAAGTTACCGGTAAGTTACCAGTAACTTACTATTTTGGTAACTTACGTAAATTACCGTAATTTTACAACCCTGTGCAACATACACATTATTACATAATCACTCATTACCGAAATCACAAACTTATCGAATCGCCAAATAATCATTTTTCACCTAATGTCCCAAAATTTATGAGAACAGCTGCAATTACAAAAAAAACTTGAAACTTATCCTCCGGAGCATCGCCCAAGCCTGAAAATTTAAAAAAAAACTCAAAAACATAGCCCCCGGAGCATCGCCTGGGCCTGAGAGCTAGAAAACTTCAAATTGAATAGTAATACCTAGCCCCTGAGGCATTGCTCAGGCCCGAGAGCTAAAAAGCTTTAGACCTAGCCTTGAAGCATCGGCCGGGCCTAAGAGCTAGTTAATTTCACTCCAATTGAAGAAACAAATTTACTATCTAATACTGGAAACAGCAATGGAATCATTGTTTTCATTCCGAACAGTTATTCCTCAATTTTAGTTCGCAATAGAATTAGGATTAAAGATTTGTCAAACAGAATCTTGGATAAATTTATTAGTTTTATTTAAATATTAAAGCTTTAACAAACTATTAACTCAAAAAAAACTTGAAAAATTTCTGGCTCAATCTTATTAAATTCAAATTCCATGCCTAAATAATTTTTAATACTGTAAACAGTAAAAGAAGAGGGTTATGAATTTGCAATATTATAATAATTTGAGCTAGAATTATGATTCTGCGAAAAATGAATAAAGTTGATGAATAGTTAAATGAATGGAGAATGAAATGCTTTATCTATCTGATACGCTTGATTAAATAATATAAATAAGCAATTTCTCTTTGTGCGTCAGAAATTCGTTTCCATGTGGTAGAAATAAAATTTTGCTTTTCTAATTCTTGCACATCAATATTAGGATTATGTAATCGGTTAAAAAAACTATTTTGAAAATTTACGTTAATTTCAGGTTGGAGAGAGAGATGAGCATCAGGGAAACTCTGACTATAAATAAAGTTATTGTTTGGTATGATGCAGGTACTTTGAGTATCAATATGAAGTGGAATATTATTTGGAACATTAATTCTAGGTGGATGAAAGGGACGTGCATCACGGGTACTCAGATTATAAGGAATGTTGATATTTTGTGTGACATTTGTTTTTACTTTAAAATAAGTATTATCAGTTGGAACAGTAGGAAAATTGTTGCGTTGTGTATAAAATTGATTAGATCTTAAGTGCGTCGGTTGGATGTAAGAGTTAATATCAGTGGGAAGAGGAACGATGTTTGACGCAGTAATTCCAGCTGGAAGAAAGGGACGTGCATCACAAGGGCTCAGATCGTCATTCTGTGTGATATATGCTTGTATATGATTATCAGTTGAATTACACAAAGAATCAGAACCCTGGAGTGAGGAGGCATCCAAGTTAGAAGGATTAACGTCAGTATGTAAGGGAATGACGTTTGGAGCATTAATTTCGGGTGGGAGACGGGAATGTGCATCGCAAGGACTCATATTATAAAGAAAATTGTCATTAAAATAAGTATTATCAGTTGGAACAGTAGGAAAATTGTTGCGTTGTGTATAAAATTGATTAGATCGTAAGTGCGTCGGTTGGATGTAAGAGTTAATATCAGTGGGAAGAGGAACGATGTTTGACGCAGTAATTCCAGCTGGAAGAAAGGGACGTGCATCACAAGGGCTCAGATCGTCATTCTGTGTGATATTTGATTGTATATTATCAGTTGAGTTACACAAAGAATCGGAACCCTGGAGTGAGGAGGCATCCAAGTTAGAAGGATTAACTTCAGTATGTAAGGGAATGATATTTGGAGCATTAATTCCGGGTGGGAGAAGGGAATGTGCATCGCAAGGACTCATATTATAAGGAAAATCGTCATTCAAAGTAACATTTGCTTGCATATTTAAAGCATTATCAGTTGGGACATCCTGAAAGGTAAAGCCAGGGGAATTCTGATCGTAGGATAGTCCTTGTTGTGAGTTGCATAAAGCATTAAAAGAATCCTCACCCTGGAGTGAGATGTCCAAGTTAGAAGAATTAATGTCGGTTGGAAGAGAAATAACGTTCGAAGCATTAACTCGGAGTGGGATAGCACCCAAGTTAGAAGAAGCGACTGCCAAAGCTTCTTTTATACTAGCACCAAAAGCCCAACCAAATCCGAGAGCTTCGTTATGAGCCTTAATGTTCGTTACGTACAATGTCAAATATTGGGTTTGCAATTTACCCGCTTTAACTTTGTAATCAATGTACTTTTTCAAACAATCCTCTTGGACAGGAAATGGCGATTCGTGAGGATAGAAGTCTCTCATAAATTTAATATAATTTTGGACTCCATTTCTTCTTTCAGTAATTTCCGGTTTTTTTTGTCCGCGAGCCATTCTCGAATTTAATAATAGTTTTGGCTAATCTGAATTTTTTATTTTATATATTTTTTTTTATATTTTTTTATTTTTTTTATGCAGAGCCAGCACTGCGTCACTTTTAGTAGTTTTTCATTAGTGATATATTAAAGGAGAGGAAGTTGTATTCGAGAAGAGATGTATTCGAGAAGGGATGTATTCGAGAAGAGATGTGTTCGAGAAAAGATGTATTCGAGAGAAATGCTGGAGAACCTTTTGGGAACAACCCATCTTTTTATCTTTTTTTTTTGTAAATTTTCGTATAAAAATGTAAAGATAGACGAAATGCAACAAATACAGTGCCTGTAGCACAAATCTCAACAAATTCATTACGATGAAAATATTTGAGAAATGTATATAAAATTGATTTTTAATAAGTTGTACAATTCTTTAAGCTAGAGATTATTCAATAATCGGTTTGCGACGAGAAATTATCTTTTTCATCATCTTTTTTCTTCTTTATCTTTTATATGGGGTTCGGAGTTAATTTTAATACATGATCTACATACTGCATAAATTGTATTACTGATATCTATTTATAAGTGACGAAAATGGAATCATGATTTACAGGTTTTCTCTTTTCGTCACTCATATATATGGTAAAATGAATGATATTATCTTTTTATTTGGATTAGCCTAAAAATGACGGAATTGTAAAAACCAAATAAGGAAAATGGTTATCTTCTTCCCAATAACGTAAAGCTCGGTAATGAAGCCGAAGCAAACCTTTTCCTTGGTATTTAAGAATCATTTCCTTTTAGTGTGTTTTCCAGTGTGAAGGCCTCGTAAATTTTACCGAATCGTTAAGATTTAATACTTCCAAGACGTTGCTCTTGAGATTTTTTTTAATTTCATGGTAGTCTAATTGTTTTATCTTCATTTTATTATAAATCTGTCCACATCAATAGAAGCCTCCACTTAGCTACTGGAGCCAAACAACCTACGTACATAAAATCGTTTATTATGTCATATATAATTTTTAATTGGGATTTAGTTCCAAATTTTAATTAGCTAACAAATGCAGAGTATTTAGCGTTAGTTATAGTATTAGAATTTATTTATAAGATAGGTCGAATTTTGATATTTGTCGAAAAGCTTCGCCCGTATATATAAATGCTGGACAAATCCGGACAAATATCAAACCCTAAAAAAATAAATAGCATTTAAATCAAAAAAATAATCTTTAAATTTTGCAGATATATTATACATGACTATAAGAATATATACTGTTTATTTAAATGAAGATTAGTAATAAATTTTTTAAGATATTAATTTGGCCAGAGTTTGGAATTTGGGCGTGAACAAACTAAAGCTATAATAGTTTGGGATTTGGCCAGCAAGTATACCCGTATACAGCTGGAAATATAACATTATACTGTGTTAAAGAATCTGTGACAGATCCTAATTTTGTTACTATAACATACGCATTAAAATATAATATATAATATATAAAAAGTGAAAATAAGCAATAATATCAATATAAAAATTTTCCATCTTGGTCAATCAACAAATAAAATCTTAGTATAAAAATTTGGAATAATACTGTTATGAGTCTAGATTCTGTTGAAATACTTAATAATTATTGCTATTTTTATATAGAAAAGGTTTGACATTAATGGGTTCAATGTTTAAAGAAACAATCGTAAGATTATATTGGAAATTCAAAGTTTGCATTGAAGTAATAGCAGTATCATTAATGATTTGTGGCGAATTAGGATTTAATGGGAAAGCTGGGGATTGAAAATATAGGATAAGTTCGGTGTTAACCGAAGGAATATCATTTGTGGTCGTGGTACCAAAGGAAGTAGGCTTTTCGACACTATTAATGCGTTCGACTTCAAAATTTTTCTTATGATGTTTCTTTGTTTCAGCCAATTGCTTATACGCATTTTTAACGTCTACGTATTCATTTTTCCACAGTTTGCTTGCGATCTTTGAGACAGTACTGCCAGAATATTTGATATTTTTGGCTTTGAGGTAATTGTGGACAACCGTTCTATATATTATGAACGGATTTAAAGTTTTATTTTTTTTCATAATTCTGGACTCAATGAGAAAAATTAGCACTATTTATATTTTAAAAATGCCTTACGTGCTAAACCGGTATAATAAAAAAAAACGTGACGGACCAGCTTCAACTTGAGGCGATAATGGTGATTGGCTAATTTCTGATTATTAATCAAAAACTATCCAGTCGCCTCAAGTTGGACCTGGCCTCACGTTGGTCCCTCACAATTAAAAACAAGTATGGAAAAATATTATTAACCAATTTTAGATTGGTGTAGAAATAATATATTGAAACAGTTATTTGTTATGTTAATTATTTGGTGAAACATACAATTTTATACATAATTATACGAATTGATATAGTTATTTCTGTATTTATCCTTTTTAGTGTTACGCACTTGCTCAAAAATGAGATGTACCACAAAGCCGCTTTCCTAATGCGGCCCATTTCAATGCCTTATCGTCGTGTAAACCATGTAGTACTAAATAATTTTAATTCAGAATTTTACTACGTAGTTGCAAATATGATACCGTTAATGTAAATTTGTTTATGTAATAAATTTAAACTCTAGTATAAAACATTGTGAAACATGCACCTAATTTGGCACAAAGTGATTTTTAAATAAATTCATTCACAATTTTGAAAATTAAAATTTTTTTCTGTTGGAATATAAGACGTACAAATTATAAGACTATGATAAAAAAGTATTCTCTTTATTCTCCGGTTAGAGTTTTTATGTGAAACATGAAACAAATTCATCTTGAAGCTAATTTTAGTCAAACAATAAAATTACTACGTAGATCTATGTAGATGTGTGTCCGGAGCACATGATAATATTGCACAAACGCGTGATATACATGCTTTAGTTACACTAAAGTACAAATATAGACACGCGTGCAAACAGACATAATTTTCAAATTTACAATTTTGATGCATCAAGATAATATATCTAATGAATGTAACTTGTAATGCATCAAAAACAGAATTTTTTTATCACCATGACTAAACACTAAATGTCTTCCATTACGCTCTGGACTATAAGTGGATTTTATACATTCTTATAGATCTAAATTGGGACCCCGATTTTAGCATCTGCTAATATTTTAGCATCAGTCACGACATAAATTTTATTAAAAAAAAACAATCCAATTTTAATTTTATAATAGTAGCTAAGGCAAAAGATGAAAACGGTACTCCTATCTTAGCACCCACTATAACTAATGGTCCAAACAGAACACAAACAGGTTGAACACCAGAAAGATAGGCATGAACATTACAAACTCTACTAAAAAGAGTTGAGCAGAAAGTACTACTAGAGAACTTATGTTTTAACTTCTTAACATAAGATACCGATTAGTTATAAGACTAGTAGTAGTAGCAAAACCTGGCTTAAAATACAGACTATAAAGTACACTTATATAGTAATACTAAAAACAATAATAAATATATTAAATTAAAAATTACTAATTAAAAAAAAGCAATTATCTAATAAGCAATACAATTTGAAAGTTACAATAAGATACTATAAGTAATATAAGAAATATATAAATAAACTAATTAGATAAAATAGTTAATTTAAATATTATATACAGTCAACTCTTCATAAATGCATCCTTCTTAAAACTATAAGCAAAAATTTCAAATATATACATTTAAAAAGGGTATATATAGGGGTGTGATAACTTAATAAAGTGGGTAAGTTGTTAACCTTTCAAGTAACAGATTGTAAGTTCAAAACCTACCAGAGATGAAATTTGGAAAAATATACTTGTATTATGGTAATAGAATTTTGTCAATCAGTTAAAATAAGATATCTATAACTATAGTCATATCAGTATTACTAACAAATCAAATAGTATTTGTGTAATTTGGTTATATAAAAAAATGCAAACTAATACTAAGCAGTACAAACTTAAGATAAGTTTTTGTGATTATATAAATTTATAAAATTAAAAAAAATCAAAGCTTATTTGGTAAGACTTAAGTAGAAAAATAATATGAATCTTTAATAGTATTATTGTAAAACTAAATCTAAGAAACAGATACTAATATAAAAAAATTAGACTGATAAGTATTTTAAGTAAAAGATATTATCAAAAGTCCTAAACTAAAGAAAAAGAATATCAAATTAAACTTAATATATAAAGATATATTATAGTCCTATTAAGTTATCTAGATTAGAAATCAGATTAATAGTATATTATAAATATTAAAAATATGCTCTGAAATTGGTACTAAAATTTAAATAAACTTTACAAAAGTAAGTTCTATTAATATTCTATAAAAAGTATATAAACTAGTTAACAAAAAAGCTTTCAGAGCCTTATAGTTAAATAATATATTTTGAAATATATAATGGCTTAATAGATATATAGAAAGAAAAGCTAAGATTAGGTTAGATGGTATTTAGATATATGTATTATCTATTAGATGTAATATAGAAATTAGAGTGTTTAATTAGATAATTTCTTAGCAGATTACAAGTATGACAATTAGTATAAAATCTGCAAGCAGACTATTTAAATAGGTAACTAAAAGTTGTATATATGGTTAGTTGTATACTTACCTTATACAAGTTATATAACTATAATTAAAAACACAATAAAGACAGTAGCTACTAATAACAAATAGTCTTAATAAAAAAAAAAGTGTATATATAATATATACATTTATTAAGAATGTATTTATAAAGAATTAACTATAAATAAAGATATAAATTAATTTAGTTAACTAAAAAATATATATAAAATATTATGTTTAGTTAATTTAGTCAACTAAATTTTTTAATCTTTTATTCTTATATATATAAGTAATAATATATATAGACTACTTTAATAAATATAAATTGTAAATTGTTTCTTGCAAAATGTATATACTATTAAAAAAACAAATAATTAATAAAGTATTTTTTAAAATATTTATTTTGTAAATAAAAATATTATTTTATTTTATTATAATCTTTTACAATAATAGGTGCATATTTTTTTTATTTTTTTGTTAAAGTACCCTCTTTGATTCTTTGACTTTTATTAATAACTTTTTTGATAATGCAATTTTATAAACTACTACAAAAAGAGTATACAATTGACTATATGACTTTTTTATATTTTCTATTTAAAAAGTCTGCTTAAAGATTTTTTACCAATTGCTATATCTAACACTTTTGCTTGAGTGTTTTATTTTAGACTCTCTAAATTTGCATCTGTATTAATATTACTAGGTTAATGTTCAGGTCATCATCTCAATCTTAGAACTATTTTATCTTTAAAGTAAACCTTTTAAAACTTTTTGTATTTATTTTTACAACTAATTTAGTATCACTATAGTAGAACTAAGACTTACAGTTAAAGTTATATTATTTAATTACTATGCTCTTGTAAAGTTTACTTAAACTTTAGTATTTACTTCATAGCATATTCTCAGTATTTTAGTATATCTCTGTCTAAAGGCCTGCAAATTGCTTATTTTTGAGACCCAGTCTGGCCTGCATTTAGGGTTAAAATTTTTTTGCTAACCTAGCCTGGCTTACATATAAGTAAATTTTTTTTTTAGCCCAGTTTAGCTCAGTTTGACCTACAAAATTTCTTATATAATTTTACAAAATTTTAGGCCTGGCCTGGCTTGCAATTATAAAATTTTGCTTCAGGTCTGGTCTGATTTGCAAAAATTTGTAGGCTAAGCCAGGCCAGACTAGGCTGTAAAATCTAATGCAGGCCTCTATTTCTGCTTGTTTTTTAGACTTCTAATTCAGATAGTCTATATAGAACTATGTCTAGTTTATTAGTATATTAAGTCTGTTTAATTATTTTTTTCTTCAGTTCATTTTAATGGCCTTGTTAATAGTGCCTCTGGAACACTAATCCAGAGATTCTTGTCTATCCAGATACTTTGACATTAATATTTTTTCTTAAATTAGTCTTTATAGTAGTGTCATTAAAAATTTATACTACCTCTTTATTTGGGTTTTTACAAATAAACTTCTTGTTTTTCAATTTCAACAAATTTATATAGTTACAAAAACTTATCTAAAGTTTATATCATTTAATACTAGTTGCATTCCTCTGTATAACTAGTTATACAAATGCCTATAACTTACTAGTAGAGGCCTGTGTTGGGTCCTACAGCCCGGCCCGGCCTGAAGCAAAATTTTATAATTGTGGGCCGGGCCGGGCCGAAAAATTTGCAAAACTTTATAATTGCGGGCCAGTGCAGGCCTGAAAATTTGTAAAATTATATAAGAAATTTTTGCAAGCCAGGCTGGGTCAGGCCAGGCTGAAGAAAAAATTTAACATATGCAGGCCGGGCCAGGCCAGCAAAAAATTAGTAACCCTAAATGCAGGCCAGGCTGGGCCTAAAAAAAATTTTTAACCCTAATTGCGGGCCGGGCCGGGCCTTAAAAATAGGCAATTTGCAGGCCCCTACACAGGGGTTATCTGTTTAACCGCTACGTTACACTATTTCTACCCTTGTAATGTTCACTAGAACCCCAGTACCTATCATCGTGACGTCTTCTCCATCATCCCTTACTACCGCTACTCAGGACTGACAGAACTCCCCCGACTTCCAATCCAGATAGCCCGGTATAGTATACTTATGTATCCTTTTCCTTCAGCGATTCCGGCAGCCTGGTTGGTCATGTGCTCCTCTACACATCTTGACATCCGGTTTATTCACCTATCCCTTTAGGGGTGTTTCATGGGCTTAGATCGGTCTGACCGTACTGTTGAAAGTTCATGCTACCTCTTTATTCGGGAATTTCCAAGTGGGCTTCCAACTCTTCGGTTTCTTAGTTTACTGCGCCTGGTGGTCTTATCATGGGTTTGCACCGAAGTCTTATGCAACACCAGTTATTAACATTCCTCTATATATGTGTAACATTACACTTGGCATAGATGCCCTGAGCTCCCATTCAAGATGGTGCGACTTAAGGTTACAGATACACAAATCCAACCGATCGTTAAGAGACAGTTTGCCATAACACAGGTTAATTTCCAAATTTCATCATAGGTGGGATTTGAACCTTAGACCT